CGAACCGCAGTTGACTATGTGGGAGTCCAGCGACATAGCCATTACGCTAACTGCTGGTTCCCCCTATACATATGTTTTGAAGTCCCAAGTAATCAACTTACTGGTACATAGGTTGAACAATCTAAAAGTCCAAATTTCAAAATCCTAAACTTTTTTGAGCACTGACATGATGACATAAGTGGAAAATTCCATACCTGACCTTATGTAACCGGTCACAATCAAAGCATTGTAATACAAAAATGTCTGAAATTATCTTCAGGCTATGTATAAAAAGTATACATGAAACTAAATTAATTTGGTGTTTGGACTTCAGCCCTATCCTTAAGATACATTATATATGCACAAATATACATTATATATGTGTGTGTGTATATATATATATATATATGCAAATATTCCACCCCACCCCCCCAATCTGAAATCCTCAACACTTCTGGTCTCAAGCATTTCAGATTAAGGAACACTAAACCTGCATATGCAACACTATCCCTTTTTTCTGGAAAAAGGAGCAGCTTTGTGACTGAGAGAATACCTGTAACAAGGAGATTTTCTTTCAGAGGCCAAAGCTGTAGAATGCAGAGTAGCAAGATGTAGCTCTCTGAATTTTCATCAAAATGACTGAGACAATCAAGACAAAGTACACCTTCCCCAGTAAGTGTAAAAGTTCTATGAGACGATTCATAAAAAGAAAACAAAGTATTCTGGGCTCAGGAGGACAGAACATGACAATCTGGACAGTCCTCTATGTTATAAATCTCCACCAATGAGACAGTCGAAAATATCCACACATAAACTAAGCCTTGACAAGGGCTGTCTGGAAACATGGCACTGATCTAGAGTACTCAGGAGATTGTGGAGAGCTCTGGACTTGCAATGGATTCTTGGACTCTTATAAGCCAATCCAATCCCTAGGGTCTGGGCTAAGACCAGCTCAAGGTGATATACAAGTTTTCTGTTGTTGTTTTAATTTTATTATATAGTGTATACACACTCACTGGAAAAAGGCAGGGGGGAGGGAGGGAGAGAGAGAGGGAGAGGGAGAGAGAGAGAGAGAGAGAGAGAGAGAGATCACCCACTATGGGAATGGCCATGCAATAATTCCTTCTTTTCCATTCTCATTTTGAGATTTGGGGCATGCATGTACACGCACCAAACATGATTTTCTTTCTTTTTTTCTTTCTTTCCATTCTTCTCTCGGGATCTTGGGCACGCATGCACACGCGCCCGGCATGAGTTTAAGCCACTGGGTCTGGGACTCGAACCACAGTTGGCTACATGGGAGTTCAGCGACATAGCCATTATGCTAACTGCTGGTCCTAACCCAGCATGATTTTCAAGCTACCAGGTCTGGGACTTGAACCATGGTCAGCCATGTGTGAATCCAGCACCTTAACCACCATGCTATAAAAGATTTATTTTATTTTTAAAAAAGATTGTGGTAGGGCGAGGAGGTGGCATGGTGGTTAAGGTGCTGGATTCCCACATGGCCAACCACAGTCTAAGTCCTGGACCTAGCAGCTTGCTTTCTCACTTCCCTCTCTGCCTTTCTCTCTGTCTCTCTGGTCAAATTAAAAAATAAACAAAAAGAGAGATTTTGGTATAGGGTGCGTGTGCTCACCAGACAGACAGAAAGTGAGAAATCACCCCCCAGAAGGATGGACATGTTGCAACCCCTTCTCCTCCTGAGATTTTGGGCATGCACAAACATGTGCCCAGGGAAGAGTTTCGAGCCTCTGTATTCAGGACTCTAACCATGGTCAGACATGTGGGAGTACAGCTACTTAATCTCTATGCCACCTGCTGGCCCCTATACAAGTATTTTTAAGCTTTCAACATGAATTACCTTACCTATCAAGTCAACTTGATAATTATAGGTATGACTTAACATGCCAATGGCCAAAATGAGGAAAACTACACAGTCCTTAACCGATACTCTAACCAACTGCTTACAACTATGAAATCAACATTTTTTCCTAACACCAATATCCTATACTACATCTTAATAGGTAACAACTTAAAAATAACTTGTTTAAAACCAAAAACCTTATCAACTATATGAAGGAGGATGCTGAAACACTTCAAATGTTACTGAATACAACATTTGTTTGGATGGCAATAAAACATTAATATAACTGATACACGAAGACAGTTATTTTAAATATAATTCTGAGCTTTGAGAAAAGCACTCAGTCAGAAATACAATCTATAAAGGAAAAGTGGCAAACTTAACTCACCAGCAATTTCTACAATATCCCCAGGAACTATGTCTTTAGCTTTAATCCGCTGTACGCTTTTCCTGTCCTGGCGATACACTTTGCCCATTTCAGGCTCGTACTCCTTCAGGGCTTCAATCGCATTTTCAGCATTTCTTTCCTGTATGAGAGAAAACAAGAGTAAACACCTACCTACCACTGCCAACTATTTCTAGTACAAAGGAATAAAATTTTAGAGTTTTGATCTCAAAACACAAACATAAAACAGAAGCAAGCTAATGACACTTGTTTGAAACAATTCACGGCTAGGCAATAAACATTTTACAAAGGACACTGATGATTTTGTACTACGAATTAAAAGATAAGCAGCCCAGAAAAGTAAGGGAATAAACTATACTGGGGAAAGCAGTTACAGTCTTTTGTCCTTAGGTACAACGTGAAATACCACACACCAAAACTCACCCCATACACCATTCACATCAATCTTGCCTCACAGTAAAGGTAGTACAATGTTTAGTCTGGGGCTAGACTGCCTAGGTCGGTCCACGTTCTTCCACTTAACAGCTATGTGACTGTAGATAAATACATAACATGCAGATTCACTGCCTATAAAAACGAGAACACTGGGGCCAGTGGGTGGCGTGGTGGTTAAGGCCCTTAGACTCCCATATGGCCAATAGTGGTTCAAGTTCAGAACCTGGCAGCTTGCTTTCACACTCTCTTTCTGGTGACTCAATAACAACAATAATAAATAAAACTAAATAATTTTTTTAAAAAATGATGATACTAGGGTGGCCCCATGGCCGAATGGTTAGGGAAGCCACATCTAACATGACCCACCATGGCTCAAATTTCCACCCCTAGTGGCCTGAAAAACACACCACGGATGTGTGGCCAAAATCTGAACAGGATGGAAAAGCGATTGTGGTGTGACCATACCCCATGGGGGTAGAGGGTGTGTGCTTTCTCTCTCTCCCTGTTGAACACATGCACCCTCTGGTAAATTAAAAAATTAAAAGCTTTGAGGACACTAGTAGTATCCACCCTGAAGGGCCGTGAGCATTAGAAGTTATATGTAAAATACTTAGGCTGTGTTTTGACACTTAAAAAGGAATGTATAAACTATGCCCTTTAATCACAAAGTATAATGCGTGATATAAAATTTTGTCATTAATTGGGCAGAAAAACATGTATTTTCCACAGACATATATTTACTTAACATATCAGGAAAAACAGGTAATAAACATGAGTGCAGTTTAAATCACTTACACAAATTACAATTTAGTACCACAAGAATTGTGCTTACCTGCCATACACCCACAATTGCATTGGCTACTAATATAAGTAAAATTACAAAAGGTTCTACAAAGGCTGTAATTGTTTCTTCACCTTCTTCAAACCAAGCCAAAACCTAGACGAGAAATGGCATATGTTAGCAATGCTGTATGTCTTTAGTCTTAGTGCCACTTGACACAAGTGGCTGACACTAAAGGAGTTGTGAGACAAAATCTTTTTAATCTTCCCTAGAAATAGATGATGGCAAAATGTAATGACATGAACAACAGTTTATGTTCTGTTCATAATAATTCTTAGGAGTTAAAACTATACAAATTCCTAAAAATATCCTTAAGGGTTCATTTATTTTGTCCTGTAATCATTCTGTTTTAGAACCCAGATAAAATATCTTTTTTGAGGGGAGATATATATATCCATCCTTTTGTTTGGTTTTATATTTTTGCCATAGGCGGTGTGTGCTAGCCTGAGAGAGACAGAGCGCCCCCCCAGCTGAGATGGCCACTTAATATAACTGATACACGAAGACAGTTATTTTAAATATAATTCTGAGCTTTGAGAAAAGCACTCAGTCAGAAATACAATCTATAAAGGAAAAGTGGCAAACTTAACTCACCAGCAATTTCTACAATATCCCCAGGAACTATGTCTTTAGCTTTAATCCGCTGTACGCTTTTCCTGTCCTGGCGATACACTTTGCCCATTTCAGGCTCGTACTCCTTCAGGGCTTCAATCGCATTTTCAGCATTTCTTTCCTGTATGAGAGAAAACAAGAGTAAACACCTACCTACCACTGCCAACTATTTCTAGTACAAAGGAATAAAATTTTAGAGTTTTGATCTCAAAACACAAACATAAAACAGAAGCAAGCTAATGACACTTGTTTGAAACAATTCACGGCTAGGCAATAAAAATTTTACCAAGGCAACTGATGACTGATTTTGTACTACGAATTAAAAGATAAGCAGCCCAGAAAAGTAAGGGAATAAACTATACTGGGGAAAGCAGTTACAGTCTTTTGTCCTTAGGTACAACGTGAAATACCACACACCAAAACTCACCCCATACACCATTCACATCAATCTTGCCTCACAGTAAAGGTAGTACAATGTTTAGTCTGGGGCTAGACTGCCTAGGTCGGTCCACGTTCTTCCACTTAACAGCTATGTGACTGTAGATAAATACATAACATGCAGATTCACTGCCTATAAAAACGAGAACACTGGGGCCAGTGGGTGGCGTGGTGGTTAAGGCCCTTAGACTCCCATATGGCCAATAGTGGTTCAAGTTCAGAACCTGGCAGCTTGCTTTCACACTCTCTTTCTGGTGACTCAATAACAACAATAATAAATAAAACTAAATAATTTTTTTAAAAAATGATGATACTAGGGTGGCCCCATGGCCGAATGGTTAGGGAAGCCACATCTAACATGACCCACCATGGCTCAAATTTCCACCCCTAGTGGCCTGAAAAACACACCACGGATGTGTGGCCAAAATCTGAACAGGATGGAAAAGCGATTGTGGTGTGACCATACCCCATGGGGGTAGAGGGTGTGTGCTTTCTCTCTCTCCCTGTTGAACACATGCACCCTCTGGTAAATTAAAAAATTAAAAGCTTTGAGGACACTAGTAGTATCCACCCTGAAGGGCCGTGAGCATTAGAAGTTATATGTAAAATACTTAGGCTGTGTTTTGACACTTAAAAAGGAATGTATAAACTATGCCCTTTAATCACAAAGTATAATGCGTGATATAAAATTTTGTCATTAATTGGGCAGAAAAACATGTATTTTCCACAGACATATATTTACTTAACATATCAGGAAAAACAGGTAATAAACATGAGTGCAGTTTAAATCACTTACACAAATTACAATTTAGTACCACAAGAATTGTGCTTACCTGCCATACACCCACAATTGCATTGGCTACTAATATAAGTAAAATTACAAAAGGTTCTACAAAGGCTGTAATTGTTTCTTCACCTTCTTCAAACCAAGCCAAAACCTAGACGAGAAATGGCATATGTTAGCAATGCTGTATGTCTTTAGTCTTAGTGCCACTTGACACAAGTGGCTGACACTAAAGGAGTTGTGAGACAAAATCTTTTTAATCTTCCCTAGAAATAGATGATGGCAAAATGTAATGACATGAACAACAGTTTATGTTCTGTTCATAATAATTCTTAGGAGTTAAAACTATACAAATTCCTAAAAATATCCTTAAGGGTTCATTTATTTTGTCCTGTAATCATTCTGTTTTAGAACCCAGATAAAATATCTTTTTTGAGGGGAGATATATATATCCATCCTTTTGTTTGGTTTTATATTTTTGCCATAGGCGGTGTGTGCTAGCCTGAGAGAGACAGAGCGCCCCCCCAGCTGAGATGGCCACTGCTCAATCCCCTCTCCTCCATGCTACTCTCAGGAGTTTGGGCACTCATGCACATGCATCTAGCATGCTTTCCTTCTTCTTTTTATACCCAGCATGTTTTTCTTTTTAAGAGAATCTTTTTTTTCTTGTTTTCCTTCTCTCTTTCTGTCTCTGGTGAGCACACGAACTATGGGGGTGTGCTATGTGGGATCTAGCACCTTAACCACCAATCCATCTGCTGGCCCACATCCCATTCTTTCTATATGTATGTAATGGGGGGGAGGGGAGACTTAGTCTTGATTTTATTAAAATAAAAGGCAATCATCAACAGCTACAATGATTTAATATCGTATCAAGTAATATCCACATGTGGCATAAATTCAGAATGAAAACAAATTGACCACTGGGCGGCTCCGTGGTTTGGTGGTTAAGGCAGCTGGATCCCACATGGTTGACTACACAATCTGCGCTCCAGACCCTGCAGTTTGAAAAACAGGCTTGATATGGTGTGCATGCTCAAAAATCCCAACAGGAGGGAGAAATGGATACGGGACTGCAGCATGGCCGATTCCCACAGGGAGTGCTTTTTCCTCTCCCTCTCTCTCTGGGGAGTGCACATGCCCTCCCGCAAAATAAATAAATACATAGAATAAATCCATAAATAAATAACAAGCAAACAAAACCCGAACTGAGATCATCTCGGAATTACTGGAAGGTTATCATGAGCAAACAGCCAGTAAGGAATGTTATCTTGAAGGTTATCTCCATGTAACATCTAATACATCAATACAGAATTTCAGAAATGCCATGTACCCAAGAGTCTCATAATTAGGGACTGCATGGTGGCACAGTGGTAAGACATGAAACGCTGCAAGGCTGGCCCTGTGGAAGGGTTCTGAGTTCACAGTCCAGAGCCTTCCTGAGTGCACAGGGCACATGCCTTCTCATGTTCCAGGGCTAGTAGAGGCTGAGGGTAATCATGACACCGGGACCTTGTTGGGGTGCTATCTTTGTCTCCCTATCTTATTGTGGTTTATAAATAAACAAACTCTAAAACCATCATAACTGGATACAGAATGCTGCCTGAAGAAAAAGGAGATTACTTTTCGCTTATACCACCTTAACCTTATTAAAATTTAAAAGATTTAATAAGAGCCACGTCTTAACTTCACAATTGAACTGTAAAAGTAGGAAAAAAGGAAATCCAACAATAATTTTAATAGCAGTAATAATAATAATAAAAAAAAAAAACAGGGGCCAGCAGGTGGCATGGTGGTTAAGGCATTCGAACTCCCACATGGCCAACCACAGTTTGAGTCCTGGACCTGGTGGCTTGCTTTCTCACTTTCCCTCTCTGTCTGTCTCTCTGGTCAAATTAAAATAAATCAATGCATATATAAAATTAAATAAATAATTCTTTAAAAATGTTAAGAATAATGTAAAAGGTTAAAAATTTAACAACCAATTTTAATGAAAACCAGCCAATACAGAAAGGGTGTTAAATTGTCTGATCATTTAACTGGGAGATGGGATTTGCATTTCTTAAAACTTTGCATTTCTCATAATAAAACTTTTCCTTAAATGCCCCATTTAGTGGAACTAGCAGATGGCCTAACAGGTACGTTGCTGGACGCCCACATGGCTGACCATGGTTCAAGTCTCAGACCTGGTGGCTTGGAAACTCACGCTCGGTGCATGTGTATACTTGCCAAAATCCGAAGAGAAGAATATGTGGCCAACCCTGGGGGAGGGGGGCGGGGTGATTTCTCATTTTCTATGTCCCCCTGTTGACAGCACATGTGCCTTATAGCAAAAAATCTCAAGAAAAAAAAAAAGGTCTATTTATCAAACAATGAAAACACTTTTCTTTGGAGAGGTTTTTGCTATAGGGTGAGTGAGCTCACAAGAGAGACATAAGAGACAGAGAGACAGAAAGCGAGAAATCACCCTCCAGGGAGGATAGCCACACTGCAACCCCTTCTCCTCCATTCTACTCTCAGTATCTTTGGCATGCACAAGCCACCGGGCCTGGGACTCAAACCGCGGTCGACTACATGGGAGTCCAGCAACATAGCCATTACACTAACTGCTGGTCCCCGAAAGCACTCTTTGCGGCAATAATGAAACCATCTAGCTTTATTTGTACTCAGTGGTATACTATATAAAGTAAGCTTTTACACAAACAGCAAATAGCCAGAAAGACGATTAAGGCAAGGCCCAAGTAAAGGAAGTAACAAGGAATTAACGAGAAATATCAACGTGGAGAAGGGGCAAGAGGGACCAGAACTACGTCCTGACAGATGTCAACGGCCACTGACAGTGCACTAGGGCAGGCAGAATGAGTATGATAAATGTTGCTGCAAGCTTTCAACAGGGCATTTCTAGTGTTAGGGCCAGGCCTAATGCCAGAATGAAAACTTCTCTAGAAGTTATAAATTTTGCTAGATGCAGGATCACAGCTGCTCTGATATCAGCCTTTCAAACAATTGCCAAGGAGAGCATATCAGAAATAAGAAACTTAATTAGCTCTTGAGGGAGAAAAATTGCTCAACTTGAAGAGTAACTAGGACCTTTCCAAAAGGTCAGTGAAGCATTAGCAACTGTAAGATAAGCTTCACACCTTGTTAAAGCGGGTATGAATTCCCCTCTTGGCAGCCAAGCCAGGGGAACAAACTTAAAGCAACATCCCATTAACAGCAAAGGGAAAAACTTAGGCAGGCAGTGACCGGATTAACAGAGGAAACCTCTACTTTTCAAGAAACATCCAGTTCCTTTTAACAAGTGGTATTCATCAATAATGAATGAGTCCTGATTTTTACAATGCAGTAGTCAAGTTCTGGGACTTTAAATGTTTAGGTACAGGACACACATGCATCCATATTGTTACTTGAAGGTTCTATGGAGATACCAATAATCACTAATTTCCTGAATACTTGCTAAAATTTCTATTTTGAAACCAAAGATAACCCAGAGAATCAAATGCTACACTCCAAAATGAAGACCATCCATACTTAATTAGCTGGCAATAACCTACCCAGTCAGTCAGGTTGTACAGTCCTTCATGTTTTTCTGTTCTACTGATGAAGACAAACCTCTTATTAAGTGGAAAGACAGATGATGCTGACGAAAGACTCAATGAAATAGGAAGAGGAAGGAAAACAGGAGGAAAACTGGATGAATGATGCCACCACCAAATGCTTTACTAGCGCTGTAGTAAGGTCAGTTTTAAGTATGGTTCACTGAAGTTATACAAAATATACAGGATAGTGAGAAAATGTTTCTAAAAGTCATCTTAGAATAAGGTGAATATAAATTACGTGATTGTATTGCCATGTGTTCAGTGGCATATCCCTAGGGGCCAAGGACATATCCCTGTGTCTGGTACACAGCCGAAGCTTGATAATTAGTTACTGAATAAATAGATGTGACCAGACCCTGTTGAAGGAGCTTTCCTCCCTATTAATAAATGAAAACGGAAAAAACAAAAAGGGGGGGGGCCAGCAGTTAGCGTAATGGCTATGTTGCTGGACTCCCACGTAGTCGACCGCAGTTCGAGTCCCGGACCCAGTGGCTTAAACTCACGCTGGGTGCATGTGTGTGCTTGCCCCAAGATCCTGAGAGGAGAATGGAGAAGGAACTGCAGTGTGGCCACCCCCCTGGGGGGTGATTTCTCGCTTTCTGTCTCCCTGCCTCTCTCTGGCGAGCAACCTATAGCAAAAACCTCTCCATCCCCCCCAAAAAAGTAAAAATAAAAACGGAATTTTTTTTTTTACTAAGAGGAAATGGAAGTTAAACACTGTAAAAAATGACACACAGAAAAACAATCACAAGTATCATGCCAAGTTTTCTGGGGTAAGAGACAAAAAAACAATCTTTCAGCTATTAAAACATAAACATGGGGACCAGCGTAATGGCATAATGCCCCTGGACTCACACATAGTCAACTGTGGTTCAAGTCCCAGTTGACGGCTTAAACCTCATGCCAGCATGTGAGGGTGAATGCCCAAGATCCTGAGAGTAGAATGGAGAAGGTACTGCGGCGTGGCCACCACCCCCCACAGGATGATTTCTCAGTTTCTGTCTCTCCCGCATGTGCCCTATACAAAAATCTCTCTCCAAAAAAAATAAAAAACAAAAAACAAAACCATAAACATGGGCCAACTGGAATGGCAATTAAGGCAGCTAGATCTCACAGGGCCAACTGCAGCTCCAGTCTTGGATCTGGTGGCCTGAAATACGGCCAGACGTATATATGCATGCCCCCAATCCCAACAGTAGGGGAGAAGGAATTGAGGTGTGGCCATGACGCCTTGGGGGGATGATTTCTCACTTTTTCTCTTTCTTCCTCTTTCCTGGCATGCACAAGCCACCGGGCCTGGGACTCAAACCGCGGTCGACTACATGGGAGTCCAGCAACATAGCCATTACACTAACTGCTGGTCCCCGAAAGCACTCTTTGCGGCAATAATGAAACCATCTAGCTTTATTTGTACTCAGTGGTATACTATATAAAGTAAGCTTTTACACAAACAGCAAATAGCCAGAAAGACGATTAAGGCAAGGCCCAAGTAAAGGAAGTAACAAGGAATTAACGAGAAATATCAACGTGGAGAAGGGGCAAGAGGGACCAGAAC